GGTCTAATCTATAAGCAATAATTTATAGCATAATTAGAGCCACTTCTTTGCTTTTTCTCTTTTTACCATCCGTTTCTTTTAGGACTATACTTAGGTCGTTCCATTGAACCATATGTGCATTTTCCCTCATATGATGAAAGAAAACCAGAACACCAGAACATAATTCGCTGAGCTAGAAAACCACCCAAACCGGATCCTGCAAGAGATATGATGGTCTCACGAACTAGATGGCCTGGAGCATTGTGGCGGGGGCAGTGATTCCTGTTTACATGAGTTATTCTTCCTCGCCCCAATGAGTTATATCACACGAATGTCATTCTAAAGGGGTGTGCAAATCTGTCAGGCTGTGTTAAAGACTATTGCTTGCTTGCTTGAGATTGGTTACGCCCAACGCAGTGTTAAAGTATCTCATGTTTTTCAGGTATAGATGTTTTAAAAACTTACATATTCGAATGAAGTCTTAATAAAAATTAATTTTTATTGTATATGTTTTCAATTATGCAATTGCTATTTATTTATACATTATTTATAGAAGCTGAATATTTCAAATGTTTATTATAAGACAATGATTTAAAACTGCCATTTTGGATATTATCCAACGTTCAGAATTACCTATACAATAATTATATTAGGATACATTCTAAATAAAGAATAAATAGGTAAGATTAACATTTAGGCCACAATGAACTAGGGTTATATAAGAAAAAAAGAACTTAAAGAAATAATGAGTATTGGTTTTTAATAAAAAGAAACGGAGCTCATTTTTTTGATAAATACTTCTAGTGTATACAAAAGGTTATTTTTATACAGAAAAGTATTCTTATATTTATTGGATACAGTAATTAGATTTAAAATAATTGGATAAATATCTGCACTTTACTTGGGTTAAACAGTTAATATATAAGTACAACTGGTAGACTAAAGTCTAAGACTTAAATTTGACTGCTCTTTCCCAAAAACTGGCTACTTGGATGCAATGTATTAAAGATCATGTACAATGAAATTCTAAGAAAAACGTAGATATGTCCTTCGTATTATCTCTTTATCAAAGTGTTTACTATATATTGTCATACAAGAAAACTGTTGTATATGTTGTATGTCTGACTCATGTCATGTCACACGTTACGACTTTCTGAAGCCATCTCAGTACAATATAACTAAAACCAGGTTTGACTCATGAACCAACTAGTCTTTGTTAAAAATATTTCTAGTAAACTATGGGAAAAAGGAAAAATCATTAAAGTATTGAGTCATTGCACTTATTTGGTATAAATAGGGCCTAAAATTAGTCATGTTCATGCAGATTCCTTGCGAGAAGCACCTGATGTTTCATCAACAGAAAGTGTAAAAATAGCTTCTCTCACAATACAGGTTCTCCCTGTTTCTGATTTAGGCAATGATAAACTTATATCTGATTCTGGTCTGGATAAAGCAATACTCACAGAGGGTGTGGAGGTACCAGTAGAGTTAACAGTAAGCGATAACTATCCTGTTAAAGATGCTGGTGTTGCTTCCACGTCAGGGATTACAACTCGTTCTGGTAGAGTGTCCAAACCAGCATCCAGGTTGGACTTATAAGTGAATAATGTATACCTTATTGTAAGGGGGGAGAAATGTTGTATATGTTGTATGTCTGACTCATGTCATGTCACTTGCTATTGTTGTATGTTTTACTGATGACTTGTCACTTGTCATGAGACACGACATTAAAAAAGATACCTCATGTTAAGTCTATAATAAAGAACTGTTGTTTAGTGTAAATCTGTGTTTTACTGGCCTAAATACACAACAAAAACCATTTATTAATCAAAGGATCGATGATAATAAATCTCAAAACAATACAGGTTAAAAAACGTTAACTCCATAACAACAAACGTCTTAGTTAATTTGTTCATATAAGATAAGTGTGATGAGCATGATAGTATCAAGTTTGACATTTTTGGGGATAAATTTTCTCAGAATCCAATTTTGAGTCAGTTAATTACAATACAATAATAATACACAGTTATTGAAAATGCACTTATACTTTTTGAATTAAATAAAAACAATCCTATAGAGAAAATTCAAGCTATCGTCCTGTAGATAAAAGTGATTTGATTAATTTACTCTTAACATACAACTCTTCTACAAAGACAGTTTTAAGACAAAAATAATTCAGGTATATAAGACTGTATGCAGGGTGTTTCAAAAAGGTATGTCATAAATTAAATCACGCATTCTGGGGACAAAAATAGATTGATTGGGGGGAGGAACTTTAAGGGGGGTGTGCAGCCCTAAATCCACCTAAACTTTTGAGTACGTTCAAATCAAATGAATTTTGTGGTATCATATACCCCAATCGAAATAGACCCGAGAGTCGATTATTTTTCTGACCATTGATCGTCGTTTACCGGAAACGGGTACATTCCAACCGCAAGTTGCTACCAATAGTGGTCGTCCAATAATGGATGCAACTGATGAAGACATTTTTGAAATCATTGAAGAAGTCTCTGGAACACGTACAAGGGTAACATTTACTCAACTAAATGTTTCTCACGTAAGGGTTTGGAGGCGTTTGAAGAATCAGCTGCTTAAAACCTATCACTTAGAAACGGTTCAAGAGTTATTGCTTGAAGATTATCCTAAAAGGATTGGATTTTGCGATTGGTTGTTATTGGGAAACACTTGAAATGTTAATTTTATTAAAAATATTTTGTTTACCGACAAAGCTACCTTCAGTAGAAATTAATAACAAACCATCATAACGAGCACATTTGGACCGACGAAAATCCTCACGCCAAAAAAACGACTCATCACCAAAGGACTTTCAAAGTTAATGTTTGGGCAGGAATTGTGGATAACAATCTAATAGGCCCAGTGTTTCTTTCCAACAATTTAAATGGTGATAATTATTTGCAGTTCTTGGCAAACGATTTACAAGAGTATTTGGAAGAAGTAAATATTGCAATAAGGCAAAATATGTGGTTTCTACAAGATGGCGCTCTTCCGCATCACAGTAATGAAGTCCGGAAATACCTTTGGAGGCAGTATCCTAGTCGGTGGATTGGAAGGGGTAGTGAAGCACCTATTTCTTGGCTACCTAGAAGTCCAGGTTTAACCCCATGGACTTGTTTTTGGGTGTTTATGAAAGAGAAAGTGTATTCTCTAACAATAGAGGAACAATTGGGGGTTAGAATAATTGAAGCTGCAAATCCATTTCGTCAGAAAAATATGATTTCTCAGCGCTTTGGGTTTTCCTTATTAAAACGATACCGAATGTGTATTGAAGAAAATGTGGTTCATTTTGAACATTTATTGTAATTTCATATTTATAGAGGTTATAGCTCTGCAGTTTCATATTTATATCTAAAGCTCTGGAGGGATTAGGAAATGCTGAAAGGTCTTAATCCCAATGAAAGAAAAACCCAAATCTGCAACCTCTACTTGGTAGAAGATGGGCAACATATATCTATAGATGGCCAATGCAGATAGGGACCGAGTGTTTGCCGGTATAAGCAATCTTATACCGGCTACGGGCGGATGAGTTGGTAAGTGATAGGGCACTCTTTTGTCCTGGAGTTGAGAAATCGACTCCAAAGGCGGATGAACCAAAGAAATGGTCAACGGCAGAAGGATGTAGAAGGCAACGAGAAACCACTACATTAAAGATCTGTAAATAGATATCTCTTGTCAATTATCATGGCTACTATAAATGACAATTTCACAACTACTGATCATGGACATCGGATACCAAGATCCGGCAGGGGAGGCAATTCACAGTTAGACCGCGGGGCCTCCCAGGTCGCCAACATGAGAAAACCCCGCGTCAGGCACAAAAATATAAACGAACTGCGGATAGGTACCTGGAATGTGAAGTCTATATATAAAGCAGGGAAGATCCAAATTGTAATACATGAGATGAGGCGACTTAAAGTTAATATAATGGGACTAAGCGAGACCAGATGGCCTAGATCTGGCGAAATCGAAGTCGACGGTGCCAAAATATACTATTCAGAAAATGAAGATATTCACCACTATAATGGCGTCGCTATAGTGGTTGATCGCAGTTTCTGCCAAGCTGTAGCTTGTTTTGTTCCCATATCGGATAGAGTGTTAATGATCACAGCCCAAACAACGCATAGAACTCTTAATATTATACAGGTGATATACAGGTACGTAATACTAATAATGCTGTCAATACTGACACAGTTGAGATTAAGACATTCATAGGGCTGCTGTATTTAGCAGGAAGAGTTAAAGCTGGAAAATTAAATCTTGAAGATTTATGAGATAAAAGGTTTAGGTTAATCTTTCTATCTATAAGGTTCGACAGTTGACAAACTCACCTGAAAAAAAGCATAGTTTAGCGCACATAAATGATTTCTTCTAAACTGTCAAAATTGCTACTAAGTTGCTGCTAAAACGACGCTGACATCAATATTGGGGTCTACCTTTCACATTAAAATGGGTTTTCCGCAATCTGGTGCCAGAGGCAGCCTATATATCGAGAACAATTTAGATTTTGGTTTTAGTCTAAAATATAAATTTGTATTGTCAGTAATAAATATACACATTATAAATTAATTATGTTTTATTGTTAGTGTAAATGAATTTGAATAAGTGTTTAGAATAACTGTAAATAAAGGATAATAAAAACATTGCAATAGTTATATGTCGACTCTATTGTGTATTTGTCATAAGATTGTTTAAAAGAGATTCTGAATCTTTGAACAGGCCGAAATAAAACCAAAAATTATACAGGATACCCATGCAAGTTAGAACGGTTTTAAGTAGCGACTTCTTTACCGACTAATTATGTCAAAATAACTAATGGATAAACAAAACAGAGTATTTTAAGGTATTCGTGTACTAGAAGATTCTTAGAAAGGATAAAAGAGAAAATAGTAGAGAACTCTAATAATACCTTGTATTTATGAGTATAAAAAGATATTAAAATATGTAAGACTAATGGTATTTAACTTTAAATAAAGTGCACATTTTTATCCAAGATCTAAAACCAAATAAACTATACAATATTCATATTAAAAATTTATTAGTTGGAATTTCAACATCAATAAAATATTTTTCTCAAAAATTCCTATAATACAAAATGAAACCTTTATGGAATGGACAGAATAGGATGGGACAGGAAACAGGATATCATGCACAAAAACCCAATGAAAACCTCTACTTTATATTTTGCTTGGCACAACTCTAGCCCTGAGCATTGCAACGGTCTGTTGGCTGACTGGTTCTGTAGGAGACTCTGAATCGGAACTGGTTCCGAAGGGAAATTGGTTTCCAGGAGTTGTATTCGCATTTGTAGTTATGGTTGCCGTCTTTATTTTGGAATTGGAGATTGCTGCCTTATTTTGGAATGTCATATTTGACGAAAGTTGAGTATTATCTGAAATCACAAAACATTAGTATGAATATCTAGTAGGTATACACATAAATAGTAAATTTAAAATATTTTATGTACAAAATAAAATCTTATAAAATTTTATATATACTATATTTGGCTTAACCATAAATATTAATGAATATCCTTGAATCACAACTAGATCAGTAACTTTTTTTTTTTTTTTTTTTTTTTATTTAGAATTTCCGCATCAACCATTAAAGGTTATTAGCGGGTTTTACAGATTTTACAGTTGTTATTACAAATTGTTATTACAAATTACACATAATAAATTACAAATTACAAAGAGATACATATAACTTAAATTTTGTGTAGTAAACGTATGTCCTTAAGGAATTTGATTGTATTAGATACATTACTGTTTAAAATATCTTTAAGTTTCTTTGCTTCTTCTGGTACGTTGTTGATGGCTCTTTCGTAAGAATAAAGAGGACATTCAATCAATACATGTTGAACAGTTAAACAGTTAAACAGTTGAACAGTTATTGGACATTCACAATAGGAACATTCAGGTGGTAGTTCTTTTGTTATGAGATGCTGGTGAGTTAACGCTGTGTGTCCAATTCTTAGTCGGTTTATAATCACTTGTTGCCTTCTGTTTTCTGGAAATTGTAGTTTAGTGCCAATCCTAGTTTTCACGTTTTTAAGGTTAGCCTTAGTAGAATTCCACATTTGTTGCCAATTTTTTACACAGTGCTGTTTAATATTGAGCTGGATATCACTGAATGGAATTGTAGTCATAATTTCAGTTTGCTCGTCAGTAGCAGCTTTCTTTGCTAATTCATCTACTTTTTCATTTCCTGCGATACCTGTATGTGATGGTACCCAGAGAAATGTAACGTTAACGTGTCTGTTTTGTAGGTGATAAAGTGCTAATTGTATTTGTTGCAGGATAGCATGTACTGGATATATTTGCCTTAAGCTCTGAAGAACAGATAAAGAGTCAGTAATGATAAGAAAATCTGAGCTTGCATGACTCTTACACATGTCTAAAGCCTTAAAATGGCGATTGATTCTCCGTGAAAATGCTGCAGAATTGAGGGATGCGAACTGCATATTCAGACTTTCCTAGAATATAGGCCGCTGCGTGTCCGTTTTCAGTTCTTGACGCATCGGTAAAAATCTTGTTATGGCCATTGTATTCTAATATCCGTTCTTGATATAATTTGTTAATGATTATGGGATTTGTGGTACTCTTTGGATAGGCCGTGAGGGATAGATCAATAGTGGGGAAATTAATAGTCCAGGAGGTATAGTTCGTTGTGTAGGGTAAGAATGTGTGAGCTGTTCCATGTCAAAACCGTATCTCGTTAGACGTTCTTTAAGGGGTGGATATTTAATTTGTTGATGGCAATGAGTAGGTGGATATATTTTATAAAGAAGTGGATAATTTGTGTTATTAGGGTTGGAAGACAATCTCGCGGCATAATTTAAAGAAATGTGTTGTCTTCGTATTGATAGGGGAGATTCATTTAGGATAACCTGAAAACTTGAAACAGGACTAGTTCGGTAAGCACCCAGAATTAGTCTTAAACATGTGTTTTGTATAATGTCTAGTTTTTTAAGTATATAATTACTCGCAGTTGAATAGCATATTGCACCATAATCCAGTTTACTTCGGATTAATGATTGGTATATATGCAGAAATTTTATTGTGTCCGCTCCCCAAGATCGGTTTGATAGCATTTTAAGGAGATTTATTTTAGATTGGCAGGATACGACTAGCTTTTTAATATGTTCTGCCCATGTTAACTGACTGTCCAGTCTTAGACCAAGAAAGTCAATGCTCTCTACTTGTTCTAGGTTGATACCATTTAGAGTAAGTGTTGTTTTGCAATTAGTTTTTCTTTTATTGAATACGATGAAACGAGATTTATCACCTGAGAACGTAAAACCAGTCTTTTGGGACCAGTCTTCTAGTTTATGCAGAAATGATTGTAAAATGTTTGAGGCTAGTGTAATATTACAGCTACTAGTATATACAACTAAGTCATCTGCATACAGACCTGCCTTCAAAGGTAGCTTTATCTCTTGAGCGATATTATTAATTGCTATTAAGAATAAAGTGGGGCTTAAGGTTGAGCCCTGTGGAATACCGTTTTCAAGACATTCTGTTTTTGAGGTAATTCCATTTACACGTACTTGAAATATCCTATTATTCATGAAATGTTTTACAAAGGCAAGAAAATTTCCCTGGATACCCCAATTGGACATGGTTTGTAAAATGTTGTATCTCCATGCAGTATCAAATGCTTTATTTATATCAAAAAATATGGCAATTACTTTCTGGTTATTTCTAAAGGACTCACATATAATATTGTCAATAGCTACTAAGGCATCATGAGTTGATCTGCCTTTTCTGAAACCGCTTTGGATATGGCTTAATAATTGGTTTTTTTCAAGAAACCACATTAATCTGTTATTTAAAATTTTTTCTAGTAGTTTGCATGTATTATTTGTAAGAGAAATTGGTCTACAGGAATGGGGGTCAGTTTTTGATTTGAAAGGTTTTAATATGGGAATAATTGTTGATTCAGACCAGATTGAAGGAAATTTTTTATTAAGGTAAATGTGATTGAAAATGTCTAAGAGAATTAATTTTCCTATGTACGGCAAGTTTTTGATAAATATGATTGGTATATTATCAGGACCCGATGAAGTGTTTTTTGATTTATCTAGAGCTTCTTCAAATTCTTGATATGTGATGGGGAAATTTAGTGGATTATCACTATCTATTATAGATAAATCTGTCATTTCACGTTTATTTTTGAAATCTAAAAATGCGGGATTGAAGTTTGCATTGCTTGAATTATTCTTATATACATCTGACATAATATTACTAATTTCTTGTTTGGAAGATATTAATTTGTTTTTATAATAAAGAGTGTTAATATGAATTGAGTTTTGTTCACCTTTTAATGTACGAACTTTATTCCAGATTGTAGTCATAGGTGTTGATGAATTTATGGTAGAGACATAATTTGACCATGTTTCTTTTTTACTTTTCTTAATAAGATATTTAGTTTTTGCTCTAAGTTTTTTAAAATTGATAATATTTTCTGTTGTTTTATGTCTTTTTAAAACATTGAAAGCATGTTTGCTAGATTTCATAGCTAAGGCTATTTCTTCACTCCACCATGGTACTGATTTTCGTTTACAAGGTTTTGTTTTTCCCACTGCAATATTAGCGCATTTTACTATAGTATCATTGAAATGATAAAGAGATGAATATATGCTATCTTCTAGAATAAAGTTCGTAAGATAATTATTTAATAGATCTCTATATAAGTCCCAGTTTGCTGAGTTTAATTTCCATTTTTGGTAAACAGGAATATTTGGTTGATCATGCAAAATGGTTTCAATTGTTACAGGAAAATGATCGCTATTATATAGATAATCAAGACTATTCCAAGAAAAACTTGTAGCTAATGTGTGATCACACAATGAAATATCGATGGCAGAAAAAGTACTATTGTGGGAGCTGAAATGAGTAGATTTACCAGTATTCATTAAAATTAGATTTTGATTGTCTATTAATTTCTGAAGAAGTCTACCACATTTGTCTGTTTTTATACTACCCCATGTGATATTATGACAATTCAAGTCACCAAGTATTAGTTTGGGAGAAGGAATATCATCGATTAAGCGATGTAATTCTTCAAGTACATTTTCATTTGGATGAGGGAGGTAAATGTTACATATGTTAATAGGTCTGCAGTTGATATTGCATGACACTGATACAGCTACAGCTTCTAGATTAGTGTGTAGCTTAATTTCTTTGGTCTGAATGTGATTTTTTACAAAAATACCAACACCTCCACTAGCATATGTTGCGTCTCGATTTTTAAGGAAATGGGAATAATTTTTTATATTAAAGTTATTACTTTTAAGGTGGGTTTCCTGTAAACATATTATAAGAGGAGAAAGATCGTTTATAAGTAGATTAAGGGATTCTAAATTATTAAAATAACCATTAAGATTCCACTGTAATATAAATGTATTATCCATTTTATTTTACAACGTGGGAAAGGGAGTTATCGCTTTCAATATCCGAGGATGAATCGGTAACTAAGGATTGTATCTTTTTTCGAAGTCTTGTTAGTTTATTTTTTATTTTACGATCAGGAATATGGTCGTGGGCGAATAGAAGTATCTCTTTAAAAGAATTTATATCGGTTGTGTAATTTTCTACTATGGGGGTAGGATAATTTGAGTTTAATGCGTTACATATCGCGTCACAAAGAACTGTAAATTTAAGAGGAAATGTCGGGTATTTAGATTCGATTTTACCTTTAATAGATTCAAGTGACTTGAGGATATCAGATTGTGATGATTTTGGCCGCTTAATTGTATTTTTGGGTTTGGTAAAAATTGTTGGATCGGGTGGCGTTTCATGTATCTCAGGAGAGTCAGTAGATATTTGTCTCTTTGTTTTTTGATGGGAGGCATCAGTGTTCAAAGTAATAGGATTGTTATTTTTTGTCGTTTCGTTGTGAATATCTTCTGTTGTTATTTAAAAGTTAGTGGTATTATTAATAGGATTTTCTGCTTCTGTTGTAAGATTTTGAGGTTTAGACGGAAGTGATATTGTAGATTGAGATTCAATGGGCGTTTCAGTTGATGTCAATTGTGATAGAACAGGGCAGTCTGTTTCGCGATGACCTTTTGACATACACTTAGGACAATTTAAGTCAGTGGATAGATAAATTCGATAGTTGGTGTTGTCCAAGGATATTGTAATGAAATCTGGGATAGTGATATTTTCAATAGGAGTTATAAAAATTTGTCTTCGAAAGCTTAAAACATGGTTATAGGCAGTGTACGGCATTCCAACTCGCAGAAAAGTCATCTGGGATACAGTATTAAGTCCTAATTTTTTCAGCTCAACTTCAAGTACTGAGTTTGGTATGGTGGGACAGACATTTGAGATGACCAGTCTTGTAGCAGGAGTAATTAGACGTCTTACTTCAACTTCTGAATCATTTATGGATATTGATGTATGTGTCTTCAGCAATGTATTGACGACTTCGGTATTGGAGAGATAAATACAAATTCTGTTATTTGAGATGCGGGATGCAAATAATATATTTTCTGGTTTTACTATATTTCCTATTGCTATCACGTATTCATTTATTTTTATTCCATTGAGAGCAGATAGGACAATGGCTTGGTTTTTGGTTGGATATTTAAATGAAGTAACAGCGTTGGAATATGAACATGGTTGATTATTGTTAGGAGAAGAAACAGAACCAACAGAATCTTTATCCTTTTATAAAAAATATTATTCAAATTTTGGAACCTCAATTCTTCAGAGACACTGTCCTTGTTTGTCAAACAACAGAATCCGGTAAATTGAGGTACCAAAAGTTGTTGGAGTTTGATAAATCCGGTAGCAGGAACTTGTTTTGATATAAGTATCTTTAATCATATTATAATAAATACTACTTACAGTTTTTTTCCAAGTAGTTCAAATTTATTTTTATATTAACACTACACTTTATTGCAATTTTATCAACTGAATATAAATATTATCGCAAAAAACTAGGTGTAATTAGGCTAGCTATTAAACACGTCTGTTAACGACAAAGGTTCGACGTGAAGTCCAGATCAGTAACTTGTTTAAATAACATTCTTAATAATTCATAACAAATATAAGCAGTGAGACATCTGATTGTAGAATGATGAACTCATGTATTTCTGATTGTCTTGCTCAATTTCTTTACTTAAAAAAAAAAAATCTGAAAAAAGTCATAGGGCTAATGCATATAGAAGACATAATATAATGTTGACTGGTCTTCAGTTACTTTTCTTAAAACAAAACAGAATTGCTCACTTTATTAGCGAAATATATATAAAGTTAACTAAAATTAATTTTCCTATAAAAACATCACAAACTCATAGTAAAGCTCCAATTTCTTGGTTTGATGATAAATTCAGTCAAGATAAGTGCAGATGTTACAAAAAGCTTATACAAGTAGTCAGTATAAAAAGTTTAAGTAAGAAGCACTACAAATCAACGATATCATTAAAGAAAAAACTGCGATCTGAGAATGCGTAATAACACATCAAGGATGTACCTTCAGCCATTAAGCAATTTATTTGTTATAGTGTCTTTAAAGGCCCAAAAAGCAGACGTCGAAAGATTACATACGATGAGTGCAATGTATAGGCAGAGGCACACAAATAACATGAATACCATTTTATTTTGCATATTCCAAAATTTCAATACCTTTATGGCTTGTATGTCCATCGACAATTAGAATTACTTAATTATCAATGGTTGCTTTTATAAAACTTTGGAAATGCTTTATCCATTTCATAAATATTTTGGTGGTCATCCAGCTTGATTGTTCAACTACACCTAAAGTGTTATGAGGAAGTTCGTTTTTAATATTTTCTCTATTCTTTGTTTCACGTTAAGAAAATAACATTACGCTTATGGAGATCAGTGTTGCCAAAACTCTCAGACACTCTCTTTTGCACGGATGTCCAAGATATTCCCTTTGCTTAATTTTTGAATTTTCATTTTCAATTAATATTTAACTGTAAAGTCAGAATAACTACTAAATAAAAGTCTTTATTATCATTATGTAGTCAGAGACGACATAAAATAGCTGACATACGCACATCGTATTATTTTAAGTTGCAATTAGTAATTAGATATACGCATTCCAAGCGGTCAATATTTTCTACTGATTTATATGATTCATGGCATATCGTATTCTCACCGAAAAACAAATAAACTGTCGTTACTATAATTAAAATAAGATAAAATAAAATTATCTTTTGTAAATACTATTTATCTAATTAAAATCATTTTCCCTACTTTTCATCTCTTGTTTCGAATGGGCACTTTTGGCCAATTACGTTAAAAAACATTAATTTAATTCATGTTTGTGGAAACGAAAATACAAATTATACAAACCAAAATTGTGCTTGTGTGTGTCGTGGCAACGCCGTGTTGCTATCGTCCATAAGAAATACATGGCCCTATCTTCGCAATGTTATTTTCTAAACGTGAAACGTAGTATAGGAGATTCATCAGCGGCAGAGGCATGAAAGTTCCAAGTATATTAATACAACAAATAATGGGATTTGCACCACCTTTAGAAGAAGTTATAACTCCGACTTGTTTCCTTCCCGTGGTATCTAAAATCTTTTCAGGTTTTTGTACTGTAGATAGCCTGGATTTATCAGTATTATAAGTGCGGTGCAGTCTATAGCCAACAGATTGTAGTAAGCTTCCTTACAACTGATAAAACTTTTGGACTTGTGGCCGATTAAAAGCTTGAGCGTGAGCTGCTAAAGTGGCTTCGGGTTTGCGCAAAGATAAATCTTTATTACGTCTTAGAAATCTATTAAACTTTTTTGACTCTGCAGTCCAAGATTGCCGATCATTTGTTCGTTTATAATGACGTAGCATTTTGGCAATTAAAAATATATACCTACATATATAACACAAAAGCTATGGACAACATAGCGATATCTAAGCCATTTTTGTCCGTAGAGCGTCCTAACACGATAAAATTTTTAAATAAATATACAAAGAGCTCTTTTTCTGAAACTAAATTATTTCGTTTGGGGATAAGTGTTTGAGAAATGACGCAAATGCTATAGAAATAAATACAAAAGCAAAAAAATAGCGTTTGAACCAAAACTTTGTCAGTATGAAAAAAACTCGTAACGTATACCTGTCATAGGTTATGACACCAAGATAAATGAAATAGATACACATATGTCCAAAAGTTTGGAACACTTACAAATAATACATCTACGCCTATGGTGGTTTTAAAATTGTTGTTAATATCCATTCTACAACGTTTTTAAATGAAAATGATAAAAAATTTGAATCGTTTTTGTATGATTTTGGTCACATTTAACTGATTAGCGTATTTACACATTATTTCAGTCTTTGTTTGAATTTAAATTGGGCCGTTTAAAAATGCCTAGAAACGTAATATCTCATTTTGACAGATCTATAGTAATTGCTATGTTACAACAGAGCTTTAGACAAAGTTATATTGCGAATATTGTGAATGTTACTCAGAGTACTGTATCGAAAATTAAAAAAAAATTCCAAGATAAAAATGACGTCAAGGATCGTCTCAGAAGTGGTAGAAGTCGATGTACAACAATAGCACAAGACCGGCAAATAACATTGATAGCTCGTAGAAATCGTTTGGAATCTACAAGTAGTATATCCAGAGAAATTTCTAGGCTTCAAAGACTGAATATTGCACGGCAAACAATAACACGCAGATTAAATGCGGTAAATTTGTATCGTAGAAGACCGCTACGTGTTCCTAAACTAACCTACCAACACAAAATAGTAAGGTTGCAATGGGCTACAGAAATGGTGCATCATGGTCCCATCTGGAATAACGTGATGTTCTCTGATGAGTCAACAATTGGCTTGGTATCTGATTCGCGAAAAACACTGGTTTGGAGGGCCCCAGGATGACAAGCTCGACTAGAAACAGCCCAACCGCGTGTCCCATTTGAAGGTGACAGTATTATGGTTTGGGGTGGTATTATAAGTGGTACACGGACGCCACTGCTGGTTCTGGAGAGAAGAGTCACTGGTGCTGTGTACATCAAGTAAGTTTTAAATCCTGTCGTAGGTGCAGTAGATCATGAATTTGTGTTTATGCATGACAATGCACCTCCCCATGTAACAGCAGCAGTACAAAATTTTCTTGAAGAAGAAGGAATATTTACATTAGAGTGGCCCTCGAATTCCCCCGACATGAACGTTATTGAACATGTTTGGGACACTCTCAAAACACGCATCAAGAAGCGAAACAATCCTCCTATTACATTTCGAGAACTAAAAGATGCTGCTCGTGAAGAATGGGAGAGAATTCCGCAAGCCCAGCTTGACGAGTTTATCGGCAGCATGCCAAATCGCCTACAGGCATACATACAGGCCAATGGAAGTAATAATAATTATTAGTTTTATTAAAAAATTATTTTTTTCTATACTAATTTATTTTTAAATGTAAGTTGTACATTGTAAGTTTTTCATTTCAAGAGAATAAATAATTTTTTTGCACATCGTCTATCTGGTTTTGAGATTTATTTGGTATTGTTGAGAATTGAAACAAAACGAGGTTCAATTATTCAGAAGAGTTTATATATAAAAAGTTTATAAATAAACAATTCTGGAGAAATACCAACAGAATGGCTGAAATCTGAGCTTATTGCTTCTTCTTCTTCTTCGCGTGCCATATCAGAATTATCCGACGTTGACGATCACCATTGCGAAGGCTTCTCGATCTTCTGCAATATGGAATAATTGTCCTGCATTTTTTATCTGAGTCCATTCACGAATGTTTTTTAAACAAGAAACTTGTTTTCTTCCTACACCTCTACGGCCCTCTACTTTGCCTTTAAGGATTAGTTGTAATATTTTATATCGACTTTCCCTTACTATATGTCGCAGATAAGACATTTTTTGATGTTTAACAGTCCTTAGCAGTCTATAGTTTATTGCACTTTCAAAAAAATAATTATTTTGACATAAAGAACTCTGGAACTTGTTTTAATGATAATGATCAAAAATTTAGCTCATAAAAAGCTAAATTAACAAATTTTAATTAAGTTTAAGGAATCGGATATTAAAATATTTTATCGGAATTGGAATAATACAATTAAGTGAGTTTTTAATCAAATCCTTACATATCTTATTTCCGTTTCCAAGGTCGACGTTGTCAATTTGATATCGAGCTGCAAGGGCTGCTAACTGATCTACAGCTTCAGGTTCGTCGTCTTCTAAACTAGAATAACTACCCGTAGTACCATCTCCTTCTGAAGATCCTTTGGATCTTTTATCCTCCCCTGCACCTGCTCCGATACCTTCTTCTTCTTCTTCTTCCTGTAAATAAATAAAGTTTAGGTTATCTATTATAAATTCGCATTTAAGGAATATTTAACAACAATATTGGAATGAAAGTATACTAATTATTGTAAAGAAAGGGAATCAATCGGTTCAGTCTTCTGGTCGTGGATCCCTCTATGATATTGCTTTTTGGACTACATCAAGCCGTGTTGTTTTTGGTCTTTCCAATTTTTTTCTCACTCAGATGGTTGCCAATCCAATATTAATTTCGGTAGACGATGGCCTTTTACTTTTTATATATATATATATATATATATATATATATATATATATATATATATATATATATATATATATATATATATATATCCGTAACAAGTATGCTATTTCTGCTGTATTTCTTCCATGATGGTGTATGTTCTATTTATAATTTGTCTATTTTTTCATTTGTTACGTGCATCATTCTGTATATACCTACCTGCTAATCTGCACCAAAAATCCATTTACATCAGTTCTCTTAGTCTGTTGCCAGATTCCACATCCATAAAATACAAAGCTTTTACAAATACTGTTATATAGCTGTATCGTTTTCTGTTTAGAGATAGTTTTAGACCAGAGTAGTGAGTTCAGTGTATCTATTATTTTTTCCCTTTTATACCTTCTTCGATTGCCGTTTCACTGCGTCCATTTCTTTTCATATTTTTTGGATTTGACACCAAATAACGAATTTCCTTTTTTTATTAATAAAAATAAATTGTAATGTCAGCATTTCTCGATGCTTTAAAATTTTTAAAAATGTTTGTTTAGGAATTACGTTGTTGGCATCGGAAATAGTATATTACTTTATGAGGCAGAGAAGCATGACTTTTCTTGACGCGCCCGGTATTACGGACAAGCGTAATAGAGGGTAAGTTAAGAAAAGTCGCTTCTTTGCCGAATAAAGTATACTATTTTTTCTTCAAACGTAGCAATTTTCAACCATAAATAGTACAATTCATGCGCTATTTTTACTCGAAATTAACTGTGACAACTATCAAAGTCGTCTAGATGTTGGAAATTAAAATAATTAAGTCGTCAGTGGGATTTGCGTCTCCCTGGTTACAGTTGGTTGACAGTTGTTTGCAATTATTAAAGACAGCTTATTGTCGTTGCAACCGCAAGCTCAAATTTAGTGCGAAAATGGAAAACCTAAACGAAATTGAGTCCGCGGCTAATGATGCAGTAGCACGTTTGGGGCCCTCCAAGTACGGAATAAAGTATCGGTTAGCGTACAAGCACTTCCAAGAGTGGTGCGATACAAGAGGAGTACGGCAAGTTACCGAAGACGTTTTACTGGCATATTTTAATATAATGGAAAATGAAAATAAATGGAAATCTTCTACAATGTGGTCACAATACTCTATGATAAAATCCGAGTTAGTTATTAGAAAAAATGTGGATATAAGCAAATTTTTAAAGTTACGTGCCTTTCTGAAAAAAAAAACAAGCGAAGGATATACTGCAAAGAAGTCTAAAGTTTTCACTAAAGACGAGTTTGATAAATTTTTGTTTGAAGCGCCAGATAAGTTGAATTTAGGATTAAAGGTAAAAAATTATATTGCAAAGCATGTAGTATACTCTACTAAATTATAAAAATATTTCAGATTGTTTTGTTAATTGGGGTTACCGGCGTCTGTCGATGCGACGAAATGGTAAAAACGAAGACTGTGGACATTGAGGATAAAGAAAATGTAATAATTATCAAAATCCCAGACAGTAAAACACGACAAATTAGATGTTTTACGATAATTGGTCAAAACTACATTAAACTGTATAAAAAGTATGCATCACTGCGGCCTGAAAGTTTCACAGAAAACCGATTTTTTATCAAGTATCAAAATGGAAAGTGTTACCGAAGCGGCATGGGAATACATTCGATCACCACAGTAGCCCAAAAAGTAGCTAGTCATTTAAATTTAAACGATGCAAGCGCATACACAGGTCACTCTTTACGACGAACTTCAGCAACACTTTTAATTGATGGAGGCGGAAATCTAGAATGCCTCAAACGACATGGGGGCTGGAAATCAAGCACGGTTGCCAAAGGATATATAGAGGATTCAATAAGAAATAAGAACGATAATGCTCAAAAAATTTTAAACCCACATAATTCGCCAACATCGGGAATGATTGCTGAAAGTTGTTCTCGACCATCAGTATCATCAACAATTACCAATGCGTATCAAGAGTCGGGAACATTTTTGCACGGTTTCAATTTTGAAAATGCCTCATTAACTAATTGTACTTTTAATATTACTATAAATAAAAATGATGTTTAATTGTTGTTAATGACATTTGTATTGTTGCTTTGTGACATGTTTCATATTGTTGCCATGACAACATTTTTCCCTCCGCCGTAAAGAAATGGAAAAAGAAACTGCTGCCGGCGGAGAATTCAAACTTTGACAAGATCAAGTTAGATAAGTAATGTCATCATTATTTGACGTTTGAAGAAAAAAGATATTTAATATTCATGAAGAGTATTTTAAAACACTTAAATCTATTTTCAATGATAATTTTTGTTTTTGCTCGTCTCTCTCTCAAAATGTAATTCGTATATCATGTTTAATGAGGCACAAGACAATTATGTTTTGATATACATAAATGTTATAGGATTTTGCATAATGAACCATGATTTTCCATTATGCTCATTTTATCCCAATTTAAATAATTGATCTTATTTTATGATTTGCGTACCTCAAGTACCTCGCTAACTTTCTATAAGTATTTATAACGATTTAATTTTTATCTTTGATAAAATATCTTTGTACTATCTTTATTAGGGATAAGCCATTTTCCTTTAAAATAAGTTTATTTTTACGTTTTGATTTCTTCTTCGGAAATCGTCCTCAAAATACAAAACATTAATAAATTCAATAAATTTTATTTTTTGTTACTTGGTAAAAATTCTTCTAATAATTTTATTTTATCCGACTCATTCATATTGACAATTCACACATTTATAAATTTTAAAAATATCTTTGAGTTTCTGGGACGACTTTTGGAAATGGAAGATTCGATATAATATCAAAGATAATTCATTCGATTACAAGAAATCAACTTTTACTTAGGAATATCCGTCAGAAAAATCAAAGCGTGTGATTAGTTTTTAAAAAGATAACTACCTGCATTTAGGACAGTAAAATTCTCCTATTAGTGATACCATAGTAAATTCTGAGCAAAAAAAAACAGGAAAAAACCTCACGATATAACCTGATATGGAAAGTATTTGGTCTTCCACTTAGTTTACTCTCAATATTAATATTAAACTCTAATTTATATATGTATTGTTAATATTTATCATGGCATGGCATTACTAATCCTGTTAATCTAGCTATAATGAATGTTAATCTTTGTAATATTAATAAAAAAGAGGATTCTTTATGTATAACTAAGCCCTACCAACACATTTCTTTCTTCTACAAGTACAGTTTTTTTTTCGAAAGTGTGCGATCATTATGGCTTTTTATATTTCGTTTATTGGGCTATAAAAATTATTTGGATGACCAATAAAACTTTTTTTTCTCTGAAGATTTAAGTTTCTAAAAACCATACCAGGTTAACCCATCCCTAGGGACGACTGGCGTGTGTTTGATTCAGGGTAGAGGAGTACATCCGAGCCCGTTTCCCCTTAGAAGAAGGAGGTCCCCTACAAACAGATGCCTTCCTGTTATCCTGACTACCAACTAAAATTATCCTCTCCTACTTGTGCACTGTCGCACGTACCGTACTCCGAAAGTGAGATGACCGCTGTAAGGCTGACGACACTTTCGAAGCACTTCCTTCTCTTATCTAGATCTTACTTCTGTCGTTGGTCCGGCTGGTGTTTCTCTTTTTCTTCTTTTTTTAATTACTGTTCCGATGTAATTATGTACAATATTCCATCCCTCCTTACTTCCCGTCATCTTCACGATCATCTCTCTCACAATAACAGGGTTTATACCTATTTCTCTATATAGTCTGTTTCTCTTCACTATCAATCTATTACACTCCAGCATTGTGTGAGTAATAGTGTCAGAGTATTCACAGTATAGGCATTTATCTATATCTGTCTTTCTGAATCTATGAAGAGGTCCTAAAACACCCATGGCCTGTAAGCACCTGCGTCAGGAAGTAATCCAGTCGCCTATGAACACAATCCACCCAGTGCCTTAGGCTCGGGATCAGCATCTTTGTCCAATGGGTTACATCATCCGTGTTGTTCCTCTCTTATTGCCATCTTTCTATTGACCTTTCTCTTTCTTCTTTTTTTTTATGGCTGCTGTCAAATATTCTCTTCTCTTATATAGATGTCTCCTTTCTACTGCTATTCTACTGCTAACACATGTTAGGTCCACAACATGTTAGGTCCGTGAGGTCCACAAAGCCAATAAAACTGCCTTGATTACGGAGCCATGACTTTCGCCCTCGTCTAATATTAAGTTTTCTCAGAATATTTTTTCTGCAAGATAATTTTTTTGTCCGCTCAGGGTGCTTGGGATATATATATATATATTATATATATATATATATATATATATATATATATATATATATATATATATATATATATATATATATATATATATATATATTAAACCCATATCATTTTTCTTCTTAAGGTGCCGTGCATTTCTACGTAGACGTCCACCGTACATCGTCTTGTCAGGTGAGATGTTAAATAGTCAGGATTAAATAATTCTATTTTTAGCAGCATTGCGAAGCATTTCATAGCTGTGGATTCCTGTTCATTGTCGAATATTGCGCAGCCATGACATTTTTTTACGTCCCAGACCTCTCCTACCCTCTATCGTCCCTTCGAGTATCAGTTGCTGAAAAGTGTATCTTTCTCCTCGTAATATGTGCCCCAAGTATGCAGTCTGCTTACTTTTTACATAACAAAAAAGTTCCCTATCCTGTAAGCCCGCTGTTCTGATTACTTCCTAATTTCTGACCCTATCCGTCCATGATATTCTAAGCATTCGACGCAGGCACCACATTTCAAACACTTCAAGTTT